CCTCCTGTTTCTGCTCCTACAGTATGGCCTTGGCAAGTCACTTGGTCCCTTTAAGTTCAGTTTCCACATTTGCAAAATGAAGAAATTAGGTAAGATTCTTTCCAGCCCTGAAAGACTATCAACTCTATTTGGCCATAGTCCACTTGCCCATGCCCCACCCCCACCTAAAGTAGGCCCTATTTCCATTTGGCTTGATGGATCGAGGTAATCAGCCAAAGGAGATAAAACACAAATTGTAAAGTTGCCAAGTCTGAGTCACATAAGCAAAAAATAATCTAGTTACTCAGCGCTTCCATAATGTGTTATTATATTTTTGAACACTATTTAGCCATTAATCAACAAAAATTGTTGTCACTAGCTATAAAAGAAGACCCAGAGATGAAGAAAATTGTCCTTGACAAAATTGTCCAAACAAGTCCAAAGCAGAGAAATGACATTTTAAAATTGTGGGTGAATGATCCGATGGGGGACTGGGTGAGTCACGTGCGTTGTTCTTTGGTACAAGGTATATACAACATAATGCTCACACGGCAGAAAGGCCCCACAACCTAGATTGGGATCTATTTCTGGGATCCTCATCCCCACTCTACTCCACCCATTCCAGCTCACCTAGAGCTGGGATCATGACACTAAGTCTTCCATGAGACACCCCGGGACCTCTATCCTGAGCCTCCCACATATCCCTCCTTATTACAGTTAGATGATTCATTCAGTGCTCCCTGAGCATTTGTGATGCATGCCAAAGTTTCATTTAAACTCCCAAATAAATAAGCAATCGAAATCCTTCTCCCTCATTCACATCACCTCTCGGGCCTCCACTCTCCCTTATTGTGCTTCAGTCACCCTGGCTCCTTTTCCGTTTCCCACGGTAGAGGCCTGAGTGTCCCCCTCCCCTCTTCCTCCTCGGACTACACTCACCCCTCATGTGTCTGCGCAGCTGCACCTCTAGCTCTGCCTGTTCCCCTAGCCCTACTTCTCCCCATGACTCAGCCATCCCCAAACCTTGTCTTGCATGTGTGGGATTCCTTCAAGCTTCTGTCTGATATTTCCCTGACACATCTCCCTCCCTTCATTCAGATTTCAACCAGAACTAAAATAATATTGTGTGTTCACTACAATTTTTTTAAAATTTAAAGAATATATTGGAAAAAAGTTTTATACTAAATTAAAGGTAACAACGTTGAACAGTGACTGAACCTTAATTTTTGGTAAGGAAGTAACCTGTGGAATTTCAGAATAGAACTTTTACTCTTAAATTGTAGTAACTTATTAGGAATGACATCTCTGAAAATTAATAATTAAGTTTTTCAGTGAAAATATAATGAGATCATCATTTATTCAACAAACACTGAGTGCCTAATATGTCCTGGGGATAAAAAGGTGAAAAAGATATATTCTTGAGCTCAAAACATATACAACCTACTAAGGGAGGTAGACGTGCAAACAACTGAATTATAATGTCATAATTGCTACAATATAGGCATGATTTAATGGGAGAAAATGCACAACAAGGTGCTACTCATTTGTAGCTCTACCACGGTATTTACTGGAAGACATTAAAATTGCCTACTTATGTCTCTGCTTCTTCCTTTAGATTATAGGCTACTGAGGAACCAAACTATGTCTTTGACATCTTTTATATCTCCAGAACCTAGAAAAATACTGCACTGTGCATAATAGTCACTCAGTAAGTGTTGACCTGAATTATAAGTTCTGCCTGGGGCACGGGGAAGATTCATGGATGGATTTGCAGAGAAGGTAAAGGTAACATCTGAGCTGGATCTTAAAATGTGAGTTGGAATTTTCTATGAAGATAAAGAAATAGAATAGCATTTATAAAATCACAGGAAACATGAAATAATAGTATCACAACTAACATATATTATGCCAGGAATTATACTAATTACTTACATGCATTATGATTTTATTTTTACATCAACCAAATGAGATAGGTATAACTTTTACAAATGAAGAAAGTGAGGATATAGTGGTAAAAAATCATGTCCAAGTTCACCCAGCATGTGAGTGGTGAAGCCTGTATTTGAACCTGAGGGACACCCGTGATTCTGACTCCAAAGCCTGTGAACTGGGTAACACTAGATGCTCTTCCAGAATTGAGCCAGCTCCAGTGTCCTGAGCAACCAGTTGTCTCACCACCCCGAGAGGGACCCCAAATCTTCTGTTCTCTTGTGACTGTACCATATTTATGACACAACTTCTCTGTGCCCCAGCTGCTCTTTGAGTCTATCTCATCTTTGCTTCTCTCTGTTATTGCTTCTCTGTTCCTATTGCGTCCTATTCCTTCTCTGTGCCTCACATGCTTGCTCTCCAGGAGAGCATCTCATTGTGTTAGAGAAGCATCTATAGTCACTATTTGTTTGTTTGGGCCGCCCAGCATCCAACTCCTGTTGAAACTCCAGTCTCCTTTGGGGGGAATCTGCGACTGTGTGTAGACGTATGGGTGGAACCCACTCCCACACAGTAGCCCATGAGCCAGTGCTCTCTCTTCCTACCCAGCCTGGCTATGGGGACGCATGTCACCTGGCCTACGCCAGTCAGACAAGTGTAAGGACAGCTGCAGACCACCCTTATGGAAGGAGCAGCAGCAAAAGTAGGAAGCTGACCATGCTGCTCTTCTTGTATAACTTTTGCTGTGCTTCCCACTGCAGAGCTCTTCAGAGCACCTTGGCTTCTGCCTCTTTTCTAAGCCAGGTCCTCTAGGCCCCTGTAGATAAGAGAGCCACAGACAACGTTCCGGTGAACAGCCTACTGAGGGTAAGTTAGCCAGAATCTGTTTCTATTGCTTGCAAACAGGAATCCAAACAGGACTCAGACACCATGGAGTTTTGGCTCTCATATCTGAGCTGCCTCTGGCAATGGCCCCTATCCATAATCCACCGCTCTGAAGCCAGGGTGGCATGGCTACGGAACTGAAAGCATGGCAGCTTCTGTCAAGGCAGCCACCTGTGGCCCTTGTGTTCAGGAGGGAGCTGGGGGCCCTCATTTGGACACTCATGGATTCTAAATCAATACTACTCTGGGAAAGATTGTGTGAGGTTTATATGCTGAGAGAATTGAGTTAGTGACCAGCAGGAGGTTGAAGAGGTTGACGAGAGAAGAGACAAGGATGGGGCAAGGGCCCTGAGGAAATGGGAGTGAGGTGGGAAAATTGGTTTTGGAAAAATCAAAGGCATCTCCTTGCCCGCACCCCCACCCCACTCCTGAAATTGCTGAGGTAGGTATGTTAATTGAGTGGAAGGAACTTGAAGGAGTTATTGCCAATAGAGTCTATTGCCCCTCTGAGGTAAGAGCCAAGGTAACCTGCTGACAGTGAGTGTAGGAAGTTGGGGGCATAATTTAAAGAGAGAGACGAAGACTTGGAAAAGCCATAAAGAGCACAGGAGAGGGAAACTTGCAAAGGGGCGGTGAAACTGCATTGAAGCAACTGTTCTGTTTGCGTTCACTAACAGCAAATTGCCACTCTGTAGACATGTTTTTGAACACAAGCTTTCCCTGAAACTTTTTCGTGCAAAATCATGGACTTGACAAAATCTAACAAATTTCACAAACCAGAAAAACATTTAACCTAGCTCCTCAATTTTGCAATTTTGTAGCTTTGGAACTTTTTCAGGGTGAGCTCCTTTGCTGGGCCAGAAGGCAATAATCATTGGACTAGAAAAAAAAAGTTTCAGGTCATAGAAATTTGTTTTTAAGGACTCTGAATTCTGTCTGATTTAGTTATTTTGGAAATTCAGAATTTGGCCCATTTTATGTATAAAAATATAAAAGAAAATTTAGAAAAAAAGACTTTTAAGGCTTTATAGAAATATTAAATAGTGATATTTATATTGACAAATTTATTCAAAGTGGTCTTTATTATTATTGGTGAAAAATCTAACGACCAAAATAATCTTGTTGAAATGCAATTAAATAAAGAAAAGCTCATCTCTGAAGTCTAATAACCAGAACTTATGGGTGTGGTTATGTTTGAGAATTCAGCACGCTGAATTAATCTTAGAATGTCCTGCCTTCTGGTTCTGGTGAGCAACTGAACCAATACATAAATTATAGATTTCATTCTAGATTGCTGGTTAGATTCATGAAGATGTGCTTCTGTTATAAGTAAACGAACCATTGTTCTGCATCAGTTGGCATGCTCTACAAGAAAACTGCATCTGGATAAAATTTAACATGCAATTTCAGCTTTTGTCACATTTTGAATAAAAATAGTTGGCTGAACAACTACCTATTCAAATTATTGAAAGCTGGTGATTACAAATAAGCATCCTGGCTGATGATTAGAGTGGCAGTAAAAATTGATTCAGAGTCTCAAGAGCTTGGAGAGGATTCCAGAAGTAGTTTTCCCTTAAATTGAGCAGTGCAGACAAAAGCCAGTTCGTTCTTCAAAGAATGAGTAAAAACTATTACATTCACTGATGGAGGCTGCGAGACCGTGGGTTAATTTACGTAACACTTCAGAGGTTTGGGGTTTTCAAACTGCAGCAACGACGAGGCAAAATAGAGATTAAAATTCATCATTATCCTCTTCAAACAGGAAAACACTGCATTTCTTAAAGGACGACTCCCAGCACACAGGTTTTTATTGGAGACACGGTAAAAAAACAAAACAATAAAGTCTCTTTTTGAAACATAATATGACTCAAAACAGCCACTAGAGGACAGTCAAAACACTGGGGATGTGGCAAGGCAAGTCCTTAGATGAGAACCTTAAAATGAAAGCAGTTTTTGCAGGATTTTGAAAGGGATGGGGGTGGAGGGGGAGGGAGAGAGAGAGAGAAAGGGAAAGCAAAGTATCTTCTTGATCATATTAATGTAACATTAAGGGGGACTGGCAGTAAAAATATCACACAAGCCTGAAAAGATTTTACGAGCACACATTTGCATGATGATGGGATGACAATGCCTCCTCCCGTCTCCCGGTGCCTTGGGGACAACAGTTGTAGGACAGTGATTCAGCACATATGATGTAATGAGGTCCTTTCCCGATACACTCCGACTTAACGCTGCCTCCAAAACAGCAAAAGATCAAGGATAACACACCAAAACACACGTCACTGGTCTTATGGAACGTTTACAGGCAGCCGTACGGGTAGGTCATTTGCTATCTATGTGTCTGTGTTTAATGCAAATGATATCTTTTTTAGATTCTGAAGTCAGAATTATTACTTTTTATAAAAATTCTCACAGCTCTATTTAACCCACGTGACTTGTGGGAAGAAATGACTCACATGATTGCTAAAATGTCCCTGAAAATGCAGACGACATGGTGACAGACGTTGGAGTACTCAGCTCTGATTCTTTAAAAATCTTTCCAAAAAGAGAATTGGGCTAGAAGCAGGGAGGCCATGAAGAAGAATTCTAAGTGTTATGCAGCATCCTAGACTTGAAAGCTAAAACCATTTTAAGGTCCTCAGCATATAATATTTTCCATGATTTCCAACCTGTAATTTTTCTCTTAGTCATTTTAAAGTAGAACAATCTGTATACCATATTACAGACAACAAGCATTTTCCAAATTAGCAACTGCGGGAATGGCCCATGGAAATGTGGCTACAGATGCAGTTTGCAAATGTTCAGAGTAACTAAGAATCATTAGTTATTCTAGGCATAAATGTAATGAATAAGGACAGAAGTTAGGGCCAACACATTTTGATTTACTAGAGCAAAGTTCTGCTGGCTGTTGTGGGGACTTCCCGGGAACTGCACCCTGGCTTCTTGGAGGAAAATGCTTTGGGCACTTCGAGCTGAGACAATGGGAAATAACCACATCCTTGTTCTTTCCGTTTGAGATGACTAATCCTAAATCTGTTGACAGTACAAGGGAGTAAGTGTGATACTTGGTCCAACACAATTTCTTCAACCATCTGTCTAAAACATAGCTGCGATTAATAGATTGAATATATTTACCCATGTTTTTGTCAGGAAATACTTCTTTTTTGTATGAACACCTAGAACAGCAAATCATTTAGCCTAACCATTATAATGGGATGTCGACCACATTTTATTCTAATCTCTCTAATCATCTGTGTGACCTTGAGTTTGTCTCTCCTTTCCCTTCCATAATAGAGTTGCATGGGAGCTGTAGATGAAGCATGCCTGAAGTATTTGGCCACTTGGATTCACAAGAGACATCCTACTTACTGTAAGAGACAGGGAAATCTGAGTTAGTGATTCCTAAGATTCCTGAAGAGGCCTCATAAACTGTAGTGGTTCTGAATACCAAAGAGTTTTTGTATATCTGGTTCTACTACAGGCAAAACCCCTAGGATGGGTTGTAAAATAAATTAGTCATTTGCAAGAGTAATATATGGTTCAGGTTGTGAAGTGCCTGCAAGTTTGAGATGTGGGGGCCCAGTTAAAGTGTGCGGTGGACTAGATCCTAGGGATTCCTCTCTGAAGCTTCCCTGGTATGACCAGAGGAGAGACCTCCATAGTTCCTAATGGTATCTTTCAGATGATCCCATCCATCTTAAAGTTACTGTACACTCCTAGAAAGCAGGTTGTGTCTCACACATCACTCAATTACCCCGGAATGTCTTGCACATTTGTAATTCCATGAATGTTGACTGGATGAATGAGATTGCAAGATAGATGATAGACAGCGATGAGCTTCCCCAACATACTTCCCTGGGCACTTTGCTTCTAGTGAAATTGAATTCTTCATCCAGAAGCAAGACCCAGAGCGGGCATGGATGGCTCTCTCTTTTGTCCACAGGTGTCTCTGCTGCCTCAGGCCATGCCCTCTACATTTACCAGCTGTTCAGCCTCTTTGCCAATGATAGTTAACTTTAAGGTTCCTGAACTGCTGGGCAGTGTTAACTGACATTTCTCAGTGAGTTATATGGACTGGGTCATGTCTAGGACAGCATTGCTCATGTTGGAGGTGCTCTGTACAAGAGGAGGGAACGAAAGAATGGCTAGATGAAAAGACATTAAGATCCAGTTTCTTGAATGTAGAAAGAATTTTCAAAACCCAGTGCTAGTGAAGGCACTTGTTTTACTCTGAGCCCTTTCTTTCTCTTCCATCTTCACATGCAATAATGCCTTCTGAATGGGCCATTTAGCAGCCATGATGATAGTTTTGTAAAGTTGGATGTTTTAGGAAAATGTGGGTTCTTTGATCTCTTATCTGGTCTGTAGCTATGTTTCTACTTATTCTTTCCAGGCTCTGTCTGCTCTTTTCCCCTAACCTCATTCAGGTTATGGTGTTTGTGAAATTGCTTTCACTTTAATTATTTTTATTTCCACCAGAAGCCCATAATACACCTGAAGTAAGACTGAATCTTGCCTGGAGTGAATGCTGATAGACAAAGGATGAAATGGTATAACTAAAAGAAAAAAAAATAATTAAACCTGATGCCAATACTAATGGGATCAATCACTTAAGAAAACAGCACCAAAATGGTCTTGAAAAATAAGTGTGGGGATGCTTATGTACTAAAAATTTTAAATTAAATGTATTGGGGTGACATTGGTTAGTAAAATTATATAGGTTTCAGTGTACAATTCTATAATACATCATGTATATATTGCATTGTGTGTTCACCACCCAAAGTCAGTTCTCCTTCCATCACCATATACGAGTATTTGAAACCCTGTGTTATGATTTTTTTCCTTCCTTCCTTTCTTCCTTCCTTCCTTCCTTCCTTCCTTCCTTCCTTCCTTCCTCCTTCTTCCCCTCCCTCCCTTTTTTCTTTAATTTGTTCAATCAGTCTTTCACGATTACACATATAAGCAAATAAGACAAAGGGGCTTTTCTCCTTTTGAAAATATGAAAAGTGAGAGAAATGGGAAGAGGTCAGACATTCTGTAAAAAGGCAAAGTGTGACCAAGCTGTCTTCAATGTATGCTATAATACTGTTTTGCCATGAGAATAACTAGCAGAGCCACAATTAATATACTGACAGAATCACAATGCTGATATACCAACTATGTATACACTCATATTTTAAGCTTCAATATACTTTCATGTATTTAACTTCATTTCTATAACAGTAATGGTTTCCCAACTGTAAGAATTTTGGTGGACTTTGTATATACCCTTTAAAGCTGCCATATTTTTTCATAACATTTTAGTTAGAACCATTTGACTAATAGAAACAGAGACTCACTCGTGGCATCTGTGCCAGCAACTAGGTACTGTTCACCAAATGATTTTTTCTTTCTTCCCAAGTACACTGCTGGGTGGCATGTCATAGCCACCTTTCCACTTGGATGTAGTCTTGTGACTAGGTGTTGATCAATGGAATATGAATGTAATGAATAGTACAGAATAGTAATAGTATATGAATAGTAATTTACATGACTTCCAGGCCCCAGCACACATAATTCTCTCTTTTTTCCATTTTACACCCATTGAGTGGAAACATCTAAGGATCAAGAGAATGATCTATAGCCAACATTGCTGCTTAGAGGAGAGCTGCCCTGTAGAGCCAGCCAACCAGACTAAGACTGTGTAATATGAGTGACAAATAAATACATCTTCAGCCTTCTCTTCATCATTCCCCATCTTCTTAAATCTCCCCTCATAAATCTTATTTTCTAACCATTTAATTATTTAATTCTCTTAGCTCTCTTTTAAAATAGGTAGGCTATTTCCTGGTTTTGCTTGGACAATTTCAATTGTAGTCGCCTCAATGGATGCACGCTAAAAGATTAACCAGGGGAAACACTTCCCGATATTTTCCCAGGCCATGCTCCATAGTTATACTTCCAGGTACACCCAGCTACCTGGTTGGAGGCTAAGGGGACTATTACACCAATCAAGTAATAACAACCTCGGAGTCCCTTTCTGCCTCAGTGAAGCACAGGCCGTAATACAGGGCCTTGGATGCCTATGGAGGTTTTTGTTTTGGGGGGCTTTTTTGGTAAGATACACACACAGAAATAAATGCTGCCCCCATTTTTGTGATTCTCTGGAGTTGGCTGCTACAGAGCAAGCTTAAGCAATCTGTTTCTCTGAAGGGAACACCCATCGTTCTGGGAAAATTTATTCACATTCCTTCCTAGAAGAGAAGGGAAGGACTAAGTGGCCTTTGGCAGAATTTTAAGACCTAGCTATCTAAAAGAAAAAAATGACATTTCACAACAATGAAGTGATGTGGTAGTGAAAATTTTGATTTAATATTGCCCACTGTCTCTAAAAGATTCACGGTGCTTTTGTACGTACATCACTTAACCCTAAGATACTTAGTTTGGTAATAGCCTCACTTGCAGAGCCAGATAAATTACTTTGTCCATGGTTTACCAGAAACTGTTATAGGCCAACAACTGGTGCTTCCCTTCAAGGAATAACTAACTAGGCAGGGGCTGGAATCCTCATGTTATCGCTTTTGAGTCAAAGGGTCTTGAGCAGGCTAGGTAACTTTGAGCTCTGAATCTTTGTCTGTGAAATGAGAATAGGGTGGCTGGACCATTTGCCTTTCAGTCCTTTGACTTATCTCATCCATTCAGTGGGTCAAGTCGGGTTTTCTTTATTCCCATCCTCATCTTTGATGGAGAGGGGTCTTTTAATATAATGTTAGAACTTTCCAAACCTCCCAATCTAAAGGAAACATTCAGTAATTCTCCATCACATTGCCCTTGTTTATTTTCTTCAGAGAATTCATCAGTATCTGAAATTATTGTTTTTTAATTTTTGACAACCATTTGCATGACCCCTCACACACACACACACACACACACACACACACACACACACACACGTTTGCTTGCTCACCACTGCATAGTACAGTACCTAGCACATAGCAGTTACTTAATCAGTGAATAAATCCAAGATGTGCTATAATAAGTGATCAATGTTAGTCTTTGTTGATCTGATGGGTACTTTCCAAGATTGGGGAGATCCAGTGCAAAGAGAACTTACGAACATAGGTGATAGTAGTATAGTGACGTGAAGTCAGACCTGAGGGAGAGCGCAGAGAGTGAGGTGGACACGAGGACGAGAGGGAAGACGATCAGGGTGGAGGGGCGCTGTAAGCCCCTCTCAGGGAAAACTTGGCAGTGACTGAAAGGCAACCAAGGGGAGCAGTAGAGAAACATCTGCACTTTCCTTTTTGTACTTCAAGGAGATTCCTAATAGAGGGAGTA